AAAACTTGTCTTTACCAATTTCCTTCGCATTACTCAATTTCCCAAGCAAGGCTTTTGTCTCAAATATTTTATGGCTGCATCTAACGTCTCGTTAGACTGCCTACGTACCCTAAACAGGGATCAAGCCATTCGTAGTTCACATTGTACTTCAAGCATTCACAATAATTATATATGAAAGTAATATGCCTAATCAATTTAAAGGTGTCGATAGAACTCTCAATAATATGCACAATAAAAAGGAAAAGATCCACTCACCTGGAGTCCACGCTATACTACTCTAGCACGCGCATCGAGGCGTCCTGAATGATCGGTCCCTGTGGCCAATTATCAAATCACATCTCAGAACTCTTATCTGAAGAATATGCAATTCACATAAAACACAACCTCCACGACATTCTAAAATAGGTTGAGACCTATTGACCACAAGTCAACCGTCGATCAAAGATCGACGGTAGGGTTTACAACCCTGTATAACCTGACCCGGAAGATCCGCATATCAGATTTCCAATCTGCAACTTCCAATGATCCACAATATGTTTCTAGAATAACATCTTAAAATTTCATTACGATCCAACGGTCAGATCTTCGCCAATTGCCTAAAACAAGTGGCCGTGAACATTTATTTTACTAACTTACAAATCCAATTCAGGAAGATCCGTAAGTCGGATTCCCGATCCGTAAATTCCTATGATCTTTAAATATTACGTAATATAATGTATCCAATTTTGGTGACGATCCAACGGTCGGATCATCGATTCACATTTTTATCAAGTAGCGTATTATAACGAATTTAGGTTCCAACGATCAACCTACGTCATTCAAATGACAAAACTGAATTCAAAACATTCGACATAGCCTAAAAATAGCATTGGCGGCTCACCGGCCACGCGCCGCCGCACGCGCCGCCGCGGGTGGCGGTCGGCCGCCCCGACTCGCCGGAAAATCCAACTAATTCCAAAAATTATCAAACTTCACAGAAATGAAGATCTCAGTGAGTGGAGCAACTTTCATACCTGCCACGAAGTCCAAAAGTGGACGGAAGATGGTCAATTTTGCCCACGAAGCCGGCGGGTGCCTAAAACTTCCCGACGTCGATTCGTCGTCTACGGTGGTCCAACGGGGTCAAGGTTGGTTGGGTTTTGCTCCTGGGATGATGGGCTACAAAGCCCAAGTGGTGGCATCGGCCATCGCTTTGCCGATTTGCCGGAAAATGGAGAAGGGTGGCCGGAGTACCATTGATTTTCGTCAACTTTCGTGGCCTCAAACCTCCACATCCCGTGGTCAATCAAGGTGGTTCTTGGGTGGGTTTTGTAGAGGGGAATGAGAGCTTCAAAATGGTGGTGGTGGCATCGAAAAACTCCACCGGAGTTGGCCGGAATCGGCCTTGGAATATGGCCTCGCGGTGGTGCGGGTATGGGTGCACGGGAAGCCCTTTTCCCCCTTTTTTTTTTTTTTCTTCTTCTTTCTTTCTGATTGGGCTTCCATTTAATTTAAATAAACACTCACCTTGAATAACCAATTTCGAACGTCCGTAACTATACCGTTATAATCCGGACTCGCAAACGGCTTTCGCCTATACGTTCGTACCAATGAGTACTACGTGGATATGCTAAAAGAATAAGTCCCACATCTTTCAAGTCGATGGTCAACGGAAGTCAAAGTCCTTGCCTCTAGGGCAATTTCGTAATTTCACGCTTTTAAAATAAAATAAAAACGTAAAATTTGGAACGGGTTGTCACACCAGTCCTACCTAATCAGCATTGATTCTCACGTCAAACGGTAGAGTTTTGGCATAAGGCAGGGTGGTTAGTTGGTTTCATAGCTTTTTCAACTCGAGTTAGTAAGTCCTTATGGGTGTTTTACACCTAGTGCCCTAAAGCCTTTGTGGTTTGGAAGTCATTGATCTAAAGCTCGTTACATGGGTTGGATCGAAAGCTTAAGTGAACTGACATTGCACGACCACAACTGTTAATGAAAAAAAAAAATGTGAAAGATTAAAAAGAAAAAAAAAAAAAGAAAAAAAAAAAAAATATATATATATATATATATATATATATATATATATATAAAGTTAGTAGGTGTGGAATAAAAATGACGAGAGGTAAGGGTTTTTAGTTGATTCTCCTTAGCTATATTGGTTCACTTTACACCAAAGGAAGTTTGTGAATTATTTTCTAATCGATTCTAAATAGCTTGGACTCTGTAATGGGATTAGCTGAAACTTTTGAAAAGATCATCTAATTTTTAACGTATTCTATAGATTGCAACTTTGAAGGTGAAATTTTTCGTCCTTTAGTTTTAGTTAAGTTTCTAGTTTATTAGCTTATATTTTTGTTTTCTAGTTTTATTTTGCTTGAGGATAAGCAAAAAGCTAAGTTTGGGAGTATTTTGATGAGTCAATATTATATTATATATTTTACCACATTCTTAGTATAATTTGGTAATTATTTTGGTAGAATTTTGACACTTTGCTTTATATTTTCAATACAGGACATTCGACTTCCTCTTGAGCAAAACATGATCAAACGGATGAATTTTGGAGTGATTCAAATTGGAGGACGTTCGTGTGTCCCTTGGCTTGTTCGTATCAAAATTTGGGATTTTTCTACCAAGCTGTTATTTTCTGGCGATGGAATAAAAGAACATTGCGCAATGCTGGAAAGTGACGTTTTTGGGCTTAAATTGTGTTTTTGGAGCCTAAGATGACCTCAAATGGGTTCGCTGGGAGAAATATTCATAATAGTTCAAGCTTTAAATCCAGCTATTTTGGGTCGATTTTGGAGTTGATTTCGGTCCAAAATGTGGTTGTGCATATTTTTGGGCAAATTTACTAAGTTAATTTAGGATTGTGTTTCCTAATTTATTTCAATTTATTAGGTTTCCTAGTCTTATTCTAAGACCTTTTACTAGGAGGATTTTATTTAGAGTAGTATAAATAAGCCTTTTTGGCCAGCCCTAGGGGGGAACGAACGCAACACTGAGAGAATTTAGCAAGCTTTGGAGAATTTCAGACTTTTTACCTATAAAGTGTTTTTTTTTCTTTTTCAAGTTAATGATACTTTCTTTGATTTTTATTATGAGTATTATGGAGCCTAAAATAATCCCAAAAATTCTAGAGGCGACACGTGGACTTTTATTCAAGAAAGACAATATTACCCTCAATAAATGGACAGGCTTCTCAGATGCTCCCATGCGCAGCTCACATCCCTGGAGGTCTCAGATGCTCCCATGCGCTGCCCACAGCTTACCTGCCGTTGGCAATGAATTAAAGATAAGGATTAATTACCTAAATCCTATATTTAATACATTCCTAATTGAAGATTGACTCCAATTAAGTAAGTAATCCTAATTCAAATCAATTAGGGATAATTACCCCATTATCTTAAGATATTAGTTCCTATAAAATATCTTGGGAATATTTAGAGAACATCTCTCCCTTAAACATTATATGGATTGCCCTAACCCTATAAATACCTTATATTCTACCAAATTTGGAGAGCTTTTGAAATCCTAAAAAAAGCCCTAAACACTTTACTATCTCAGAGAAACTAACTTAGGCTTGGAGATCCATTGACCTAACCTCCCCCCCCCCACCTCGTGGGCGCGTGAGGCTTAGGTCTATGATCAAATGTGTTGATTGTTTTGCAGGTGCGTTTTCGTCAAGACTGAAGACGACGAAAATTTGCATCGACAAGTATGCGTAACTAATTCATTTTGCTAGGGTTAGGCCATGAACGTTAGCATGAATATGTAATTTTATTAATTTGCTTATGAATAGATGCATGTTTGCTTTGAATTATTAATCACCACAATTAAAACTATCTATATATTTTAATAATTGATCACCATTAGAATATTTAGACAAGTAATTTGATGCAATTTCTATTGGAACATCACCCTAGAATTGAGGAGGGCTTCTTGTGATTGATAATCGTAAGTTCACTTAAGGCGAACATCACGCTTTTAAGGGTTGCATGATTTTTTAAAGAGTTTTCACAAAACTTAATGATTATTGCATGTTTATATTTGATCTGAACATTATATACGGGTTGCATATTATATATATGTTTTTGCTTAAACATCACGAGGAAAATATGTATTAGGAAAATTTAACCTTCAAAGCATGTATGTGGAAATTCATAAGTAAATAGTAGAATTGCATAGGATTGTAACGGTGACGGCTAAACCCTAGTTTTTCTTTAAATTGATTTTAATTTAAAAACGTTTTTATTCTTTGTTGCTATTATTTCCAAACTTTCAAATTTCTTTTATTGTTAATTTAATCCTTTTAAATTTGAAAATCTCAAATCTTTGATAAAAATATGTTTTAATAATTAATTAAGAGTTGATTTAATTACGAATTAGTCAAACAATCTTTGGGGACAATAACCTTTCATGAGCGGTTATACTACAATTACTTTGTATTCTTGCAAGTATTTTCAGTGATTTTAACCCTATTTGCCTAGGTACTAAAAATCCTATCAAGATTGTAGATATATTTAATGTTGGTGGTGAGAGTAACCAATCTCCTTCTAAACTTTCTTTGAATCATTAAATCAAATCAAGATTACTTAACATCTTCAAATGAGATGTCAAAAGATAAATGTCAAATGTTAATTTGATGGCTGATGTAGCAATGTCAGGTTTTCTCTTTTTTCAACCGATGTGTTTCTTTGTTATAAATGATATTTGTAAGACTCATGTTAAAAAGAAATAAATTAAAATACATTTTCCAAAATTTATAATTGGTGCATTAATAGGATCCAAATAATAAAATAATTAAAAAAATTGACATCATATTTTCTTATTTGTCAAATTTGACATATGAAAACTCCATATATCAATCTACATAAGATTGACATATCGATTATAACTCACTCGTACTTTCAAATTAATAAAGAAAAAACGAAAAGGTTAGAATATGTTCTTCATTAATAAAGAAAAAACGAAAAGGTTAGAATCTGTTCTTCATTAATAAAGAAAAAACGAAAAGGTTAGAATATGTTCTCGTTCTGATCAAGAAAGCAGACCGACCAATCACAAGAATTTGAACGTCTTGTCTCACCACACGCACGCCACCACTTCCACAACAAAAAACAACTCCCATGCCTCGAAAAGTCCGACGACTCTCCATGTGCTAATTCAAAACTCTCAACTGGTAAGAAGCGCGATCAAGCTACGCAACCAAACCGATTGCTTTTACACCACAACAATTTCGTCAACCAAAGCCTTCTCGTTTGTAATCAAATTATTGAAATTATTGTTTTCTTGAGCTGCGGCAGCTTGTCGGAGTATTCAGCCATGGATTCTGCTTCTGTGAAAACGTTCCTGCTCGATGTTAGAGCTTCTGCGAATTCGTTGTTGTCGCAGTACGAGCCTCTGGTTCTGGTTTCTGCTCCTCTCTTTGCTCTTCTTGTCGCTTCCACGCTTCAATCGGCTATCCATGGCCTGCAGGAGAAGGGACTCAAAGCCACACTCCTAGGGTTCTTCATGAGCTTCATCAAGTCAGCGACCTTTCCGCATAATAACACTCAGTTCTGCTAATATTTGTTAATTTTGGATATAATCTGTAATTGTAATTGTTGGGTTTTGTTTAATTTGGTAAACTGCAGGTTGGTTCCTGGCGTCAAGAGTTACATCGACGCTGAGAAGCAAAAGGTCTGTTTTTTATATATAAAGATTTCATCTTTAATTCAATTTCAAATTTTTTTTTTTATATTTCTGGTGCCAATTTATTCTTTTTCTTGGGAGATGGAATATTAGTGCCACACGAACTTAGCATTTTGTTGTCCCTTGGAAGATGAACATTCAATGCAGTTTGTTCAGAGGCCGTTGATGTGCAGTCAATAGCTCAGTTGTGATTTATTTTTGTTCTTAAGGGTTTTATTGTATTAACTGTCTGAACTGGTTCCCCTCCCTTTAGTTCTTAACTGCAAAGAAATGAATTTTAAGGGGGGATTAATCTTGCTGAGAAAATTTTCATCTCGTGGCGGTAACATTTTTTCGGAATTGTGGATGTTGTTGTTGAACAAGCAGGTTGTGGATAAGTTACAGTCTGGTGGTAAATCTGGAAGAGAAAGTTGGAGAACTGAATTGCCTAGCACGGGGTTGGGAGTGGGAGTCATAGAGAAAATGAAAGACGAGAAAAGTAAAGATGTGGCTTGGCAAGGAAAATGCTCGGGTGCAGTGTATGTCTGTTATTTTTGCTGTGAAAATTGATGTTGAACCATTCATCAACACACACTTATGTGTGCGTATATGATTTTTTATTGTGGGACATCCTGAACATTAGGTATGAGAACATGCCGTTGATCGCATGGTGAAGTCAATGTGATCAATGGCGCGAGTCTCTGTTGAGGAGGTGTTGTGTATCTTTGTTGTGCACAAGAAAAACACCCTCATATGTATGCGTATTGATTGAGATTGTATTTATTTTCTGACCGAGAGCTTGATTGTTTTTGGGTTCTTCTTTGCAGCTACATTGGGGGAAGCGAGGTTGAAGGACATTTTTCTGTAATTAATGAGGCATGCTCAATGTAAGTAAGATTATTTTACAATATGTACATTGGAGGAAGTGACTCATGTTTTACCTCTGGTCTGAACTTGTTTGGATTTGGCCTTCAGGTTTGCACATACCAATCCATTGCATATGGATGTCTTCAAAAGTGTGGTACGGTTTGAATCGGAAGTTGTTGCAATGACTGCTGCACTGCTTGGAAGTAAAAAGAAGTCTTCTGGAGGACAAATATGTGGAAACATGACATCCGGAGGAACTGAAAGTATATTATTAGCTGTGAAATCATCACGAGATTATATGAAAACCAGGAAGGGGATTAAGAAACCTGAAATGTATGCCATGTTACACTTCTCTATACTAACTGTTGTAGCATGTGAGGTTATTTATGTAACTAATTTTATTCCAGCGCAGGATAATACCCGAATCTGCTCACTCTGCATATGACAAGGCTGCGCAATATTTTAACATCAAGCTCTGGCGTGTCCCTGTAAATAAAGAATTTCAAGCGGATGTCAAGGCAATTAGAAGACACATTAATAAGAACACCGTTTTGGTAATGTGATGTTCATACTTTCACCTGTATCTCTGGGAACATATTCTAATGAAATTTTGTTGTATTTTATTGGATCCAAAAGAAGAAAGTCATCTCCATCTAACCCATCATATGCTTTTCCTAAGTTCTCAGTTGAGTTAAACTGACCTGGATTATTTTGATGCTGCAGATTGTGGGATCTGCACCTGGTTTTCCTCATGGCATTGTTGATCCTATTGAGGTATTTAATTTTTTTCAGAGGGGAGTGTTTTAAATTAATTTTTGGGAAGATCATTTGATCTTAGCTTTAGTTGTGTTCTCTTAGATTAAGAACTTCGAACTGAGAAAATATTGGAACTTCTCATACAGGAGCTTGGTCAATTGGCTTCTAGCTTTGACATCTGTCTGCATGTTGACCTTTGTCTTGGCGGCTTCGTATTACCTTTTGCTAATAAGCTCGGGTATATTTTGGGTCTGCTGGCAAAAGTTGTTTATAACTTTGACTATCTGAAATTATAGTTTTTAATTGTTAATTTATCTATCGCAACTTTTATTTCAGGTATCCAATTCCACCCTTTGATTTTTCAGTGAAAGGAGTGACATCAATATCAGCAGATGTACATAAATATGGGCTGGCTCCTAAAGGAACTAGCACAGTTCTGTACAGAAACCATGACATCAGAAAGGTTATCTACTGATGTTGGTGAAACTTTCAGAAAGCATTTGTTTGCATTTGATATAGCCTTCCTAATGTGTTTTTATTTTCATGTCGGTTCATTGGAATGCTGGGCTTTATGGCTTTCTATTTTCTATCTCAGCATCAATTTGTTGCTGGTAAGTTTTCATCAGAAAACAATGAATATCCAGTTAATGAGTTTTTCATCTGCTTTGTTTCATGAGTATAGTTTACTTAAGTGTACAGTAGGAGCTATCATCTGTGCTTCATATTCAAAAGCTATTGCAGAAATTGGATTTTATTTTATTTATTTATTTTTTAAATTTGTTCTGACAGACTAAAAGAGGAGAAAGAGTATAAGTGGAATAAATAGTTTTATTATTTGCTGGAGTTAACGTATATAACAGTCATTGCTGATTTTTATGTTCATCTTGTATTTATATCCATGTTGCAGTTACCGAGTGGTCCGGAGGGCTATACGTGTCTCCAACCATAGCCGGAAGCAGGCCTGGTGGCTTGATTGCTGGGGCTTGGGCAGCTATGATGTCTTTAGGGGAGGAAGGTACGCATGTAGTGGCCAGACCTTTCTGCTAATCTGAATATTTCATCAAATTCTTGTCTTGTGATTGATTATGTTCATTACTTTCCAACATTCTGCAGGGTACTTGGAAAACACAAAAAACATCATGGAAGCATCAAAAAGACTTCAGAAAGGGTATTGTTTCCCTTGTTCATCAGATAAGGGTGTATTTTTTGTTCAGTTATTTTGTCTTCCTTGGGGGATTGGAAGCAGAGGTATTGATCTTCTGGTAATATGGCAACTTTCTGTGCAGAATAGAGGAAATTCCGGAGCTGTTTGTCATTGGAAAGCCAGACATGACAGTTGTAGCATGGGGATCTAATGTTGTTGACATATTTGAAGTCAATGATATCATGTCATCTAAAGGCTGGCATTTGAATGCATTGCAAAGACCCAACAGGTAGGCTATGTGCGTATGTTTGTGTGGCTGCGTGTGTGCATGTGTTTGCTTCATGATTAGTTAACGCAACAGTCAAGGTGTGAAACTTAATTCTTTTGTCTAATGTGCTTGACTCAGCATTCATATCTGCGTGACGCTTCAACATGTACCCGTCATTGATGACTTTCTCAGGGATCTAAGGGGATCCGTGAAAACTGTAAGTAGTTTTAAACTTTGTAAAGTACCAAACCATCTCTACCATTTGATCACACCCCACTTTCATTCTGTACCGAAACCCGTTTATGCGTACATTAATTATCTGTTACCTCTTTCAGGTCAAAGAAAATCCAGGACCGATAAGCGGAGGGCTAGCTCCCATTTATGGTGCTGCAGGGAGGATGCCGGACAGAGGTATGGTTCAGGAGTTGCTGGTAAATTACATGGACGGTACATGCTAGTGGTGCTCTCTGTCCACATTGTTTCTCGTGCTTCATGTTTTGTGCCAGAATTCTTTGTTCACGTTGTAAGAAAATTATGTTTCCAAAAAAAATAAATAAGAGACCAAAATCCATTCGTTCATTTTCTACAATTTAACCTCATGTTTGTGCCAATTTAAGGGTTCATTGTCTTAAAGACTTCCATGAAATATATAATGCGATCGTTTGCTGGAGCCTCCACAATTGTTTGTAAAATTGCACTGTGCGATCGTATGCAAATGCTTCCGTAGGAAGCACCTCTGTTTGTAAGTGCTTTTGCCAGAAGCGTCTCAAAAGCAAAATTTGTTTTTAAAATAAAGCACTTTTAAATATCTGAAAAAACACTGCCAGAAGCGATCTTGGTATATGAAAACACGTTTAAACCCTTCTAAAAGCGTTGCAAATGGGACTTCAGGCTAAATTCTTTGGTTTTTACCTACAATCAAATATCTAAATAACAAGAATTAGATTGATCTGATTCTCTTTCCTTCTATTTTAAAGCTCGATGATTCCTTCTTTTTCCCATTTTTACTCAGCAAACACGCCATAAATTCTTTGCCTTGCACATCACCCTTTCGCCGGTAACTGGTTCCGTTCAAATTCCGAGTTTTATCACCGGCTGCTATGGCGGTACAAATCATGAAGTACGTTCGCAAAACCGTATATTCCTGTTATGTTTATTGATGGAAGTAATCTGAAGCTCATGTATAATGGAAGGATCAAGAAAACATAAATTCAAAATTTTTTATAACTATGATCACCAAGCAAAAGTACATAATCGATCTTATAAGTTACATTCACCATTCAGATAGATTCATAAGAGGAATCAATGCCTCTTTTATTCATCTGTTCCACTCATATTCTTTGATAATTATTACCAACAAGTAAAATCTCACTCTTACAAATAATATTGAAATCTGTAGAGAATCACTTCTTACTAATCAAGCATCACAATTTGAAAAACACGACTTTTGAATCTTCTCCTTTCACAGCTCCAGGACTAGGTCTACAATAAACACAATACAGCTCGATCAGATCTAATCCTCGATTAAATTGATTCACAATTCAAATAATTAATACTCGATTAGTTTAGGCTCTTTACAAATAAGCATCTCAAAGCGTTTTTAAGTCAAACACTTAAAACACTGTTTTCAAGAAGGAAAAAAAAAAAAATATTTGACACAATGCGATTACTATTTTACCTGACATTAACAATTGAGGTAAGAAGTTTTTCTTCATAATTTTAGGTCTCTTCACAAGTAAAGCACATTTTCAAACAAAAAGACACTGACCCAACTATTATTATACTCGACGTTAATACTTAGATATGTGAGGTGTTATTTTTTAAAGTAATGTTACACTTATTACATTTTTCATACCACATTTGTAACACCTCTCAAATAGAGATGGGCCTACCAGCATATGTATGTTTCATCTCTATTAGAGAGGTGATACAAATATGGTATGGAAAATGTGGTAAAAGTATAATTTTCGTATTTTCTATAGCTTGATTCCGGAATTGTTTCTTGCTAACATTAATATTTGTTAGAGACTATGCTATTAAGTATTCATTTTTAAGTGATGTGCATGTAGTCATTGTTGAGGAAAGACCAAGATCAAACAAAAGGGGTTGTTTGACAAAAACAAAAAAAAAAAAAAACAAAGGGGGTTCAACTTGATTGGTACTCGATAATGTATTTTGAAATGAATTAGTGCATAGTGAGCTTACAGTCTGCATCCGTTTTGATCCATTGCTCCCTGTTATCATTTGAATCCATGCCGCTAAGCGCGATTTGGGGCGGGTTTGATTGGCTCTTGTAGCGCCGCATGCTCGGATTTGAAGAAAATCCTTGCTGAGGATATAAGATAATATCATCCTCCTGATCTCCATTGCTGTAAGTCCCCTCACTGCTTGTTTTCTTCTTGGTTTGGTTCCTTTCGTACTTACCAGGTTTTTGCTCAGCCGCCGAGGTTTCAGGGTGAACTTTTCTATGAAACATGTGAAGGATCTACACATAGATTTTATACAAGTATATATACCCCAATTCAGTTCAAACTACTCTTTCGGTACGAAAGTGCGGAATATAACACGTAAAATATTTGATGTAAGAAGCAAAGTCTTTCCGTTATTTTCGTTAGAGGTACCTTATTGAGTTTTGTTTCTGCTGAAGCGTGATCAGCAGCTCCGCCGGAGCCACGAGAAGAAGCGTGAATCATTTTTTTCTTGAGCATCTTTTTCATCAAGTGCATGGCGGACTTATCCGCTTCCTTCTCTGCTCGCTTCTCCTCCTTGCTTAATTTTGCTCCAGAAATCTCTTCTGCCAACTTAGTCCTCTGAAATAGCTCACCAAGGGATGTCCTGTGTTCCTTCTTTGTCACGCTTGTTGTTTCAGACAATTCATATGCCGACCCGAATAGATATCCCTGGAGCGGGCACACCGCAGTGCCATTGATCCCGTTGCTCTCTGCGCCTTCCAGTGCCTTCCCACTAAGGGTAATGGTGCTTCCATGGCTACTTCTTCCATTGCTGACATAGCTGTTTCTTCCAGATGAATCATTGCAAATATCATCCTTCGCCGGATCAGCCACCAACTCTCTCTCCAATTCATCATTGATGAGCTTCAGCTCGTTCTCCGTGGCCTCAGTTTCTTTTTCGGTTATGTTCTCCACAGAGATTCCAAGCGTTGGAGTTGATGGTTCAGTGGTCAATTGGTCCGAGCTGCCAAGAGTACCGATTGCAAGAAATCCATGGAAGAGCTCAGATGCTTCAGCAGATGATTCTTCTTCGTAGTATTCTTCTTCTGTCCTAGCTGCTTCTAGACCGTTGAAAGATTTTCGAACGTGCTGATCTCTTGGGACTTGTTTGAAGGATTTCGTGCCGCAGTTTGGCTTCGGATAGTATTGTTGATCGTCGAGCGATGGCTGCCCTGAAAGACAACCACAAGAATGTTCTGACACAAAAAGCATTGTAAGGAACTTGCTGAACATGCCGGTATGAACATCTCGTCTCTAATAATGAATCTTACTGTTATGCATAGTATCTCATGTGATTATAATTGGTTCTTTAAACTGTTTTAACTGCATTTTTGGGAGTGAATTTCTTGTGTTACAAGAATGTATTGTCTGTGAGGCATCACGCGACTTACCAACGACGAAAACTTTAAATGGATCGTTGCTATTCTGCCGAAACTTACGATGCATCCAACCTAGTAACTGCAACATCGGCATGCAAGATCAGCTTATAAATTACAATTACTGAAATGAGGATAAAAATCAAATAACAACATCATATTGATCAAATTTACGAAAATTCTATTTACTATGGTGTATAATATGCACTTGAGGAATGGAGCGTTAGATGTGCACTCAAGAATCCCAACGGTCACAAATGTTAGAGTATATTATGCAATGGTGGTATTCTATAAAATCCTCAAATATTGATGAGCGTATTGGAAAATTCTCGAAAAGTGATAATTTCCACAATTCAAACTTTTGTTTCCATAATTTCAGCCCATTTCACAAAAGAATAAGAGAATACTAGGGTTTTTCTTTCTTACCTTCATCTTGTAACCTTTCTTTTAGATGACTTGAGCTTTGCTAGGAGAGGCTGAAAGTGTAACTTCTTTTCATTACTAGTCAGTCTTTATGCTTATTTATGAATAAGGTGTCAAATGATTACCCGAAAGCCTCCAGCCTCTGAAGAGAATGAGGGCACAGAAGTACAAACAGATAGTTACAAACCTGGGCTGGCTGTCCTTTGTCAAGATCAAATCAAGAGGCCAATGGATGCAAGTGGGTCCCGACCCCAAATACGTCAATAATGTGAGATTGATTGTAGGGTTTATATATATATATATATATATATATATATATATATTATATTGTGTGAAATTTGTAGGGTTTATATTTCATAGTATCAATTTGTCGTGAATAATTCAGGGACAACCACTTTATATCTTTCTGTATCACTATACACGAATGAGGATCATTTTCAAATTCTTTTTGTGAGGATCCAGAAGATTCTTTAATCGTATCTGTTCATTGTAAATCGTACGGTCAGTTTTCGTCAGGTATTATTTGTATTCAATTTTAAATAAGAAAATTTAAAATAATTTATGACCGCATGATGTACGATGAATGAACACGATTAGAAGACCCCGGATTCTCATAAAAAGGATCCGAAGAGGATCCTCATTCGTAATACACGACTCCATACACATGTGTTAGTGTGTGTATGAAAAAAAAAATTTAGTATGTTAACCTGATCAAGTGGTTATAAGGATAAAGTACCTTTTTTTTTATACACTCGTGTTTAGTCTTGTTTGTAGTTTATGTTAAATTTATTCAGTTCGATGGTTAAAAATAAGGAGATGTATGTGAGACAAAAAAAAATGTATGAAAATCAACTCCCTTCTATTTCTTTGGAGTTGAATGATCTCTTAACATAGAGGAGCACGTTCCTTTTTAAGAGTGTCTTGCCCAACCACGTAATTAGACTTGCTTACTAAAGTTTTTCTCCTCTAACTACTAATTGCTTAGATTTCTAAATATGGTATTTGTGCACGTCCTATTTTGAAGAAAATGCCCATATCAGTACCATGTTACAATGGGGCTTCCCGCTTTAATTATCATGTTCATGCACATGCTTCCTGCAGAGGATGGCAATGTAATTTTCATTCAATTATTTCTACTACTTCGTTATTTTACTAGCTAGGTATATTTGTTGGGAAGTCCCTAACTTGAACAGTAGGGTCAGCAGGGAATATTTTGTCGGACCTCATTGGAGCCAAACATAAAATTCGACAATTAAGTATTTTTTATATTAATGGGGACACAATATAATTCTCTACTCTTTGATCAGGTGGAATACAAATAATATTTCGGTGTGAGTAGTGTGACAATCATACTACTACATGGCATTACTTATCTACTTATATCATAAGATTTGTGTGCATTTCGAATAATGTACCTAGATTCATGACATATGAATTATAACACATGGATAGTAATATTGCATGGCGATAACTGTCAGACTCAAATTAAGTTTCTTGTAAAATACTTCTAATAGTGGTATTTCTCTTCACTTGTAAATGAGAGGTCTTAGGTTTGATTCTTATCAAAGGCAAATTGAACCACATTATTGCTTCGTTTGTTTAAAAAAAATAAAAAAAAATAAAAAAAACCTTAGCTGATAAATAATGTTAAGATATGATTGCTTTTTAATCTTCAATTATAAGGTTGAACATGTTTTGGAAGTTCATTTTATTTTATTATTTCGGTCAATATACTCGAAGTTTAAACTAATCCAATCCTATGTACCAAAACTAGGCCATATTATTCTGTGTTTGGAGGATATCAGCGTTTGATGGGATCGGTTGCAGGTCTTGACTCCACATCTCCCTTCAATTTCTGTCATGTTTTCTGTTTGATAGTTGCAGTCAATGACATTCACTTTTCACCGTCTTTCTGGCGTAACGTAGAATCACTTGGTGCATGCCTGCCCCAGGTCCCTTATCGTCAACTCAAATATTCAGAAACTGTCTAAATTAGAGATGGTAAGCATGCCACAACTTACCAAGCTGTCCTCTCTCCTTACTAACCATTCACGTTCATGTACTCACAACTCACTATCTTCGTTTTCTCACAGGAAGTACATGTGGAAAGTCCTGGCAAACACCCCGTATGCGAATATGAAGGAGGTGATAAAGGAGAAAGGGTTTGTAGCTTAGAGACGAAGGTAATAACCGAACTCTAACAGGTGTATCCTTTGATGGGAACTGAGAGGAAACATGCATGATTCAGTCTTGAGGTGTCACTATACAAGAAATAGTTTCTGTGAAAATGATAGGGTATAATTATTTCAACTTTAATTTTTTTAAAGGTACAGAAAAAATCTATGGAAAATGAGAGATAAAAGAATATAAAAAGGATCTTGAAAGTTATGTGGAAATATATATGAAATGGTGCACAAAATAAGAGTTAAAAACCAAAAATTAAAAAAGTTTTTGTTTCATACATTCTCTTTAATTTCTCCCTTCTCCCTCTTTAGTTTTCCTTTATGTTTTTCCCCACACAAACAAACCCTTTTTCTTAGCATCTTGTTTTGTAATTTCAGTTTTAACCTAAAAGATTACAATAATATTTCAAAGGAAATTTTAACGAAAAACTTCCGGTACTGTTTACTTTAACGAAAAACCATATTTTTACACTAAAAAATCAATCATGATACTATTTACTTTACCCTTTATTTTGTCTTTATCGTTAAAATTTAAAGTTTTCAAGTTATTTTCATTAGTTTTCCTTATTTCAAACTGATTGAAAATGTTTATCGTAAATGAAGAGAGTGGATTTCAATCACAAATAATTGTACTATATACTGTTCATTGTTTTTTTGGCTGGAAATAGTTGTACTTACGCCTGTTCAGATATTGGCAGTCTCTCTGTGTATTATCTCAATCTTACATGGTATGTTGAGATTCTAGCTACCTTACTAATTGATTAAATTTTCTGAATAGCAGGAGACATGACCATGGATTTGTCCACTTGATCATGATGGCTACCTAAATCTTGCTTTTGAAGTTAATAACTCTCACAATAGTATCTGATATTTATCTATTATATACATAAAAACCATACCAACTTAAGGTTATCTTTTTGCACAAAAATGGAAAAAAAAAATTAAGGTTATCTTACAAAGCTGGATTGAGAAATATACTTATTATTATTTGCAAGTTTTTTAAATAGAGCCATACCTGTCTTGAATCCCTCACTTTATTTATTTACTGTCTTCTTTCTCAACTTTTAAGTCATTGATGTGAGAATGGAGCATTTTGTTTCAAATTACTACTTTTTCAAGTATATATGGACGGGAATTCATGGTTATTAGATCTTTAGTCATTGGATCATTGCGAAGAATTTAGCAGCCATGAATCTCAATCCATTCTAGGATTTTCATAAGATTGCTGCTGTACAATGCTTTCAATGAACTAAACTAAGAACTCTGGATCAGCATGTTACTTATTTGTGCAGGTCAAAAGACTCAAAACAATTCTATCAGATGTCTTTCCGGATCCATGTTTTGAGAAAGATGGTATTGTCCAAGGAAAACGGGACCCAAGTGGAACTTCTCCTCAGAAGAAACCAACAGCAAACAAGAATACGAATTGGTGGATAATTTTTCTGCAGATATCATGAGGGGAACACAATGTGTGTTCAAGGCACATTCCTCATCCCCACTTGACCTTTTTCAATCATTTATCCTTTTGAACGCCTACCAAAAAGTCCCACTTGCCAAATTTAAGTGTGATATCAACACACATTGTGTTGTCAAGGGCAGGGTTGTTTGTCCGAATGCCTGCAGCTCTTTCACCTTTGGTCCTCTACTCTACCATCCCTTAATTATTAGGTCAAAAGTAGCAAATGGTATGGTGCTTTAATATCGTTGTCACCTCAGGTATTGCGGTTGCATTTTGTCAATTTTATCCGTAGGGTTTACTTTGGTCAGTAATTTTGGCCAAATGTTCAATTTCGTCGATGCGTACGAGTTATAGCAGCTTATAAAAATTAGAAATGCCAGTAAACTGTAGAAACAAAATTAACAAAATTCAAGCCACATCACCCGAAACGACAGGTACCTTTGACCTACAGGTGAACCTGCTCTGACCTTTGGATAGAAATGGAGGGTGATTAATTTGCAAACGTCATGCTCTTATGCTTATATTTATTTTATGAAGTTGCTAGTGGACATTGGTTGCCACCTATAAAGCTCAAACAGGCACACTCATTTGACATCTCCTTGTATATTAAAATCAAAATTGCAGGATTTTGGTGCCGACATTTTCATTATTATTTTATCAACTTTTATTATGCAAATAAAAAAAAAAAAAAAAAAAGGATAGAACCATGAAACTAAGCATAAGCAACCCATTTGTTAACCATCAGTGATCATCAAGGAGTGATTTTTATGCATTCTTGTTTATCTCATGCATTCCTCTCGTAATTTTATCCTTTGATTTTCTTTTGAACTCTTAGTCAGAAAGGAGTACATAAATCACTTCTCTTAGAGAATGTATACAAATGATTTTAGAAATTAGACGACCTCGTTTATAGTCGCTCATTCTTGAATATGATACCAAGATTAAAATTAAAACATTAAAACCATATCCACCTTTAATCAAATTAAAAAATAATTAACCAATTGATTATCAGGTGGCTAAAAGAACAAGGCTTAGAGAGTATGCTATAGAATAATCTATACTTACAGGCATGGATCAGAGCATGGGGCCATGAAGCTTCTCCGAACTCACTCTTGTTTAGAATGGCTGATGAAGAAAAGCACAAGGAAAGACAGCAATTGTTAAGCCCTTGGGCAGCTGGGTCCACATCAAGAAGACAAGGGGGAAAGAAAAACGATATACCTTGTTGCTTATCTTCTCACTATTCAATTGATAATACGGACGAAATGATACAATAATTCTAGGTTTTGTAAATTTGTATTCAAGCACATACTCTAATTTAGTATAAAAATATAAAGTTGCAATAATCTGCAAAAGTTGCTGAATGTAGGTGTTGGCTCTAAATATTACAAAACCTACGTGGCGCGCAGGCCGAGTAACTAATGAGCTAACTACGTCATTCGGTTGATTGCGGGGCGTGCCAACTCGTCGGCCGAGCTCGGCCGAGGAGTAAA